TTGCAATTTGTCTTATTAGATTTTCAGATAAATTATTAAAAATATTTTCAAGTCCTCATCGACGGTGAATGAACAATTAATTATTCTCAATAATTTGTTATCAATAAAAAAAGCGAAACATTCTAATAAATGATTTTATCACGCCGAGAGAAAATATCGGTAAGGAAAAGATTCATTTGTACCTCGGTAATTTTTAATTGGTAGCAGAAGTCCGATAAATTCATGTAATTTGCGCCATGTTTAAAATTCCTCTGATTACGGGAATCAATAGCTCCCTGATCTAATTGCTCATCATCTCCAACCGAGTAATTGTTACTTCGATATCATACCGACTTGCCTTATCAATTCAAATGGATAGAAAATAGTTGTTAAGAGTTCTGATGTTTACGCAAGTTATTTTATTATATAATCGAACTCCTAAGAAAAAAAACTCGAGACATATTTTCCGATTCTTATAATTGACGAGAGAATATTCCCTTGCATCAACTCCAATCAAGACTTATTCCCAAGTTTTATCTCTTATTACATTACAATCACTGAATTGCTATGAATGAATAATTATTGATTGATTAATTTTATAAGTGAATTGACAGATAACATAATTATTCCTCCGTGGAAAAAGAAACCGTCAACTTGAGAGTCTCACGTCAGCCTCTTGAAATGAAATACTCAAGAGATCCAAGCTTTTGAGGAAAAAATCTCTTGTCTCGAGAGAATATGCTCTACGCACGAGTACATTCTTCCCTGCTTTCATCGATTCGATAGATGTCTACTCGAAGCTTAAGTGAGAACCGATCAATGCACCCAAAAGACGGACAAAATATCGATTGACACAATAACTCGAAGTTGAAATTGAACGATGAAGTTGAACGCTGCCACCTCATCATCATGTCAAAAATTATTTATCCATTAATCATTCTCGAATTAATTACACCGCCATTTGAACGAACCGTCAATTATCTAGCGATTGATTAACTCGACATTCGACCCATCATCAAAGTGCAACAAGTCTCTGGTTTCTTGGGAATTATTTCATACAGCTTGTTACTTCATTCCCCAGCCGACGCGAAACCTTTAACAACCCCGAACTATTGACAAAGTCAATTGCAATGAGGAATGATCAATAAATTAAATTGCAGTGTTAAATATCTAATGAACAATAGAACTAGAGGCTCAACGTGCAATTGTGAAAATTTTAATGTCCAGGTAATAGTTACTGTTTAATTCTCCATTGATTTGTTGGCTTCGTTTATCAATTGAGTGTATATTTATTTAGAGTATTTTTATTTGACCTCACACCGCTAAATTCGGTGATGGAGCACGTTTTCTGCAGCAGTGGTCCACTAACCGAGTATGTGGTATGTACAGCAAAAGAGTTTTATCGCAACAGGTGGCATTATTTTATACCTCTCAGCATTTATCGTCAAACGATTGGACAAGACGGTGGATAAGCAAGCGGCTATTTATTGGATTGATCAGTTATGAGTAAATCTCAATGCTGAATTTAGAGAATGTCTTGATGATTTGATTGGAGTAAATTGCGCTATATTTAGCAGGACAAATTCAATATGTACTGTTTATTTTGACCTTTCACCAGTCAAGTTAGTGCCGAGGTAAATGTACTATATTACATACACAAATTCACCAAATTGAGTTTGAGTTGGGTGAAGGAGTGTCACGACAGACTCGGGTAAACTTTGTGGAGCAACGAGTTTGTTTCATTAAAATTTAATTCCACGGGGGTGTTAGGAAAACTAGCAAACAAAAGTAAATTCAATTCACGAAGATAGCTGAGTATATGTTTAAATGGTCTACCCACTCATTTCTATTGAATTGTCCATTAAATTATCTTGTCTCTGGCATAACGGAATGATCATAACGGAAAAATACAATCCCGACGGCGACAGAGTGACCAACATAATATAAAATCATTAATATCTCTAAAAACAATGTACTTGTGGCTGTACAATTGCTCTCCGAGGATCTCTACGACTACGAATGAGGGAATATAAAGGGCTTCAGAGGTCGTTAAATAGACGATGAAAAATCTTCTCTCATTGTTGCTCGTAAGATAAATTATCTGCACTTTGGACTGAATTATTGCATCTCCACCTCGCATTCGTCTCAGCATGTAGCGCAATGATTTTTTATGAAACAATAATAATAATCGACACTGATAGAGTGACTTGATATCAATAGCGACAGGGAAGTAACGAACGGATACCATAAATCGTCACCAGAAATATCGAATATCGGGTAATTATATTGATAAATAAGCACGGGTAAACACTGATCTATGACATGTTATCCATTGACTTGAAAGTTCACACGTAAGGAGCAATCACAAACACATATGTACCTGGGGTTAAATAAATGGGGAGACGAAGAAGCGACAGCGATTGAGTATCAGTCAATGAATGAAGGGGGTAGTTTAAACCTAAATATTTTCTGGGGTACAGATGCTGATAAGTGGGTGCAAGCAACTACTGTTTAAATATATATTCGTTAATTATTCATAAATCGATTGATTTTAGGTTATTATTATTATTTTTGTTTGTTGAGTTCTCATACTGTTCTACTCACGATTGTGCGGCGCGCTGTGCTGATGCGGCGGAACTGGCGTATCACTGCTGTATCCCCTGAGTGCAGAGATACTGCTGTATGTGGAGGTAACAGGACAACAGCGGTAAGGTATAAAGGAGAAATGAGTTGGAATACGCAAGCGCTAAAACTATCCCTCTGTGAACTGGGGGGATGAAATGGAAGCTAAACGAAAAAAGGAGCTCAACAGCCAGTGCGCGTTTGCCCCAGCTAAAAATACCGTATATAGGTATTATGTGGGGATGGAGGCACTTTTTTCTCTCTTCTTTTTCTTCTCTTTTTTTTTTCTTTTTACCAAGACTGGCTGGAGAACAATTCTAATTGTGGGGAAAACTTCGAATCATTGGAGAATCATTTCATGGCCACCATTTATCAATTTACAGTTCAATATTGGAGGTGGGGTACGGGGGAATTGGTTTGTATTGTTATTGCAAAACGAATTCTATTATTCTTGGGATTGGAGGAGAACTAGGAGGAGATTAATCGAATTTTTTGGAGATGGATTAGGGGAGGACGGGGGGTCGTTATTATTGTTAGAACGTATGGTCATCTCGATATATGACCTAGTTTTGTCGGTGAGAAATGAACGGATGAGAGTTTATACGGAAATCTATTTTTTCGGCAATTTTTACCATCGATATTTGTTACATATTTTGTTGTAATATTTTTTTCATTTATTGAAAGGCCATTACGATCGGTGATTCCTCCTCGAATCCATCTCCGAGGACTCATTCCCAGTGGAAATTTCCTTTTACTGTAGGCAAATAATTATAAATATTAATTTTTCAAGAGCTCTCAAATAATCGAGAAGTGGATTTTCAGTGTTTGAATATTCAGACGCCTGATGATTTTATATGGAAATGTACGTTGAAACAATATTACACATTGTTGAGACTATAAAATCGATTAACTTGAATAATATGGGAGCACATTGCGACAATGCTTCATTGGATTATCGTGCGCTCGAAGGTCCAGTGTTGCGTTGACCCACTGAATAATCCTAGACCAACGAATATATTCGCTAATCTGAAAAAAAAAATAATAATAAACCGATAGCATCAGTATTGAAAGCCCCAACGTAGCACTGTATTTTTGATTGATGATGAATTCCAATATAGCGTCGGATTCTTTTGAAATCCCGAGTCTCGCTCCTCTAGCCATTCATGTTCAGTCCTTGTATCAGTTATAAGCGGAATATAAGGTATAAATAGAAGAGATGATGGCTCAACAAAAGAATCGGCTGTACCTTACCCGGGAATATTATCAGCGTATCGTAAAAGATTAAAAAAATATCGAAACATAAAAGCTCACCGTACCGCATAGATTAACAACCTCATATCCATGATTACGTAAAGTTTCATCGTAACTCAATATATTGTTTTTAATCTATTTATTTTTCTCTTTATTGTGTTCCTACGCGAATCCAAGTTCTATGGGTTATTAATACTCTTTCAGGGATGCAGATAGCTTTCGATGTGATGGTGATTGTAACAAGAGAACGAGAGATTATTCATATCTGTGGTGTACGTTGAATAACGCATGCGTGAGAATACCACCTGTAGCCTAGCTTCCAATCAATACATCATGATACATTGTGCTATTAGGTGGAAACCAGTAAAGCTTCAAGCCACATCAAAATAACGTGTTACTGCCCAAATGTTTGTTAACCCTTCAAGCTCACGAGCATTTGAGGCTTTCCTGAATGAAATGGAGTGCTGCTTTATGAGGTCTTCCCCAACAAATTCAACCTATCTTCTCTTTCACATACCCTCTTGTTCTGACTCTTGTTCATTCATTAAACACTATTTTACAGAATTTGGAAAAGCTCTATTTAGGGAGAGTGAACGGAAATTCGATGGAAAGGTCAATTATTCAGCGATCGATTTTGTGGGATGCGTCGTTCGATATTTAGGTATTCGAATAGATTAATTCACTTACCATCTAGGTCAAATTAATATTCAACCGATTGATGCTTGCCTGAGAATGTATCAATAATCAGAGAATGCTCAGCCTTCCCAACCATCTGGAAATTGCCTCGGGGTGTTAATACATTTTTTTGGCGAGTTTAATTATTTCGCTGTGTGAATACCGCACATCGGCTGATGATTTTTCATTTGTACCTGATAATCACTCCGCCAAACAAATAAAGCTTATAAATAATGATAATATGAGAAAAATTTAATCCGTCGGGCTAAAATATTTCGTTACCGCTGAAAACAATTATTCATATTTAGAAGTTATTCGATTTTCTGCCAGCGCAGAATGCCCGGAGGGCTGTAAAAATGAAAGTCAAATGAGGATTCGCAAGATTTATTGAAAAATCTTCCGCCGGGCATGCAATCACAATTGAATTACACAGGATATCTATCGGTACAACGATTCACCCATTTTGATTCATATTCATGTGATCTTCCCATTTTATTATAATACTCCATATTTATGGTAAACAAATATGAACAACGTGTATACATGTGATTAATAGAATATACAATGATTTAAGTACATAATAATTAGTACAGCCGAAATTTCAAGCCCATGATCACTGGGACTCTTTGGATCCGCTTGTTATTATCATATTGTCTCTGAAGATACGTTGTGTTATTCATCTACACTAGTCATATAATACATCATGTAGATAACTGAAATTCTCTATTACACATACAGTTTGATTTCAAATATTACCCTAGTATTATCGTATATATTGGTATTTCATTATAAAATTCATAAAATTCCTCTCTTACGCAGCGGCTTCACTCGTTGTGCATTTCTCAAACATGGCGTCAAGAACTTGAGTGAATTTGAGATGTCTCTCTTCAGGTGCAACAGCCGCACCACGGCTGCCCCATAAAAATTTAATATGAAATTCCGTTCGAAATGCGTCTAACAAAAGCTCATCACTTCTCGAGCCCTCCAGAGCGATCTCGGCATTTCTGCGAAATAATGGTAAGCTTTCAGTCAATTTTCTAGCTGCTTCTAAATGCGCCCACACAATCGATAGACCACAGTCTGGGGCTGAATTCTCCCATGATGATAGAATTGCAGCAACAAGTCCTGACGCTGCTACTGTCCCTGAAAACAAAAAACAAAAACAAATAATTATAAATAACAATAATCAGTAATGGGATTGCACAGATTATTCAATCAATATTCAGACATTTAACCGACTTACCTAATACGTCGTCAAGACCCCGTTCACCTAGTAGTGCAACCGGGAGTAAATGTGGAAGTGTTGTGTTTGGAGCCTGAGGATTAGTGCACTCATTCATAGCCCTCAGTGTTGGTCTGAGTTTAGCTTCAAAATTGAATGCCTCATCCGTGTGCTTCTGGCGTAGAAGATGCCAGGTATTGGCAAGTCTTTGGATTTGAGGTAGACAGAGACCCAGCATAACACCACAGAAACCGTAAAGATTTCCAAGAGCAGTTTTAGTATCAATAGCCACTTTTATCCATTTGCTTATTGTTGCTGCTCTCTCAATAGCTGTTGTTCCAGCGAGAATGGTTACAGCAACGAGCAACTTGATGCACTCAGATCTCTCGATGAGATCCAATCGGGCTTGTCGACCGTGTGGTAGAGTTGCCAGTTCTAATCCACTCAGGCCAAATCTATTTCCCATTCCTGGTTGAAGAATGAGCTCGAGATCGAGACGCGTCAGGTGTGAAGCTAGGATTCTGGGTGCTGAATCGTGGAGCATACCGGATACACCTCGCAGGGCCGTTGGGTCAAGGGGTCGATGATCGTTAGCGGGTAAGAGTAGAGTGGAGAAACCTTCCATATCTAGGAGAGTGAGAATTTCAAAAGATGGGGCTGCCACCACCAGCTGCTCTTCGGCTGATAATTCGTAATCGCTACCATGACCGTTTTGACCGTCATTCGATAATCCATAGTGACTGCGAATAATCACTCCTTTTATTGGAATAGGTGGATTATTACCCCCAGAATTGTTTGCCTCGAATTCACTGTCACCGGAGCCATTTCCACTGTCACTCCCAGATGCTGGATATCCCTGTCAATGTGTCATTACCAATGTTATTGGATTTGAGATTATATGCACAAACATATTACTCTCACCTGATGATGATGCGCATGATAATGAGGATGATGATGATGTGGATGATGTGGATGATGATGCAGATGAGAATGTACTTGTTGATTTGGTATGTATGGTACGCGAGGAGGTTTCGGCGGTGCCACTGATGACTGATGATTAAGACTATTCTGTATTTGCTGCTGAAGAGCGGGATCTGAAATTACCCTGGTAATTTTCTGCCGACCCAATGAGAAAGATCCGGATGAGAGCTGATTTTGGATTGGTGGAGCGCGGGGTAGTGTGCTTGATTGAACCAGATGATTCGGTTGCGATCGAAATTGATGCTGATCATTCTCAGGATGGAATGGCTGTTGAGGTGTCAGAGATTGACTTCGCTGTTGTTTACGGGGTAGACGAGGTGGGGAAAATGTTGATAGAGAAGTAGCAGATGGACTTGAGCAGCTTTGATTCACCGATGCTAAACAGGTGATTGGAATTGATCTAGGCTTTGGGCTGATGATGCGGGCTCCACTGGCTTGACTGATTGGTCGGCCACTTCCTACGTAGAAGGTTATCAAGTCGGCGACTGTGTCGAATGCATCATCTTCAAACTGGTATTGGGCCCGTTCGTAGACCGTGTCCGGCTGCAGCACAACCTGTTGTCCGTCCAGTTCATTTAGAAGTATTAATGAGTTCTTTCAAATTGATAAATTGATTAATTACCTTGTTGATGACAAAGTGCAGGGGCTGACCCTTCCATCGCACTGTCAGAACGTAATTGCCCGGTTGGGAGGCACAGTCCCGAACCAAAAAGTCACCGTCATTTGGTACCTCGGCCTCAGCACCCTTTCTTCCATTTCTCAATGTACTTCCATGATACCATGCATGCGATCGCAAATCCCGTGGATCCAACAGTCGGAGCTCACGTTCAAGTAGTTTACGGGTTGCTTCCTCGGATGGCTCCTGCAATGCAATTGTTCATTCAACAATATTCCAAATTCATCTATTCCAAAATATACTAGCATAAGATACTGAAGAGTTATTGATCACAATAAAATTGAACCCACGAGGATTGAAGGTGCAAACAACACTTGAGAGGAGGGTGTAACCGGCGAATCACCACCATTTCTCCCACCCCCTCCAATTCCAAAATCTCGGTATCAGATATTCATGAAATAACAATACGAGATCGTTGTACTCACCATTGATGCATTGACCCTGCAATTCTCGTCTTGATTCACTGTCTGCAGATCCATTCGTCGAGGTGCACATTCAGCGTAATCGGCATCGCCCTTATCTCCAAGGTCTTCGTCCCTCCATTCTACCGGATTGATATTTCTGCAAATCCCCAACAACCACTCAATAAATCATCACAAAGTTGATTATATATTTTTTAAAATAGCCCACGTGTTTTTTATTAAAAAAATCACTAGTTACGCCGAAACGTCATGACATCATCGGAAATACCACTGGTAAATATAGGCCTCGGTTGTGGCATTCGACGAGTGCTCATACCCTACTGAACCTATGCCTCGGTCCTATCGGCACATTCCCGTAACCAGGAGAAGGGGAACCCTGAGATTTTTAACTCTCCTCCAGTGGTCACTAAAAATAGGACTGCTCTTCCGTCACTGACGGATCAGTCATCAGGCATATGGCATAATTATTTATTCCTTCAAATAATCAGTAACCAGAAATGCAGTCATACGGAAGTGAATATTATAGTTTCACCCCCTAGTGAATCCCTTCGTCTCTATTGACAACGACGCATGCGTATTTCTGTAATTCCCGGTGGAGATTTGTAATCTACAACACTTACGTCGATGACAACTCGAAATTATCCATGGGGCAATATAATTTTTTTAATTGTTCATCCGATTTTCATGTGGAGGATTGAATAATAGCGCGTAGTAACAATGCAACGTCGACGAATCTTTGGTTTGGAATTATTGATCATGAAATGGGACTCTTTCCGCCGATTCGTGGGGAGAATTCATGCGCTTGCGTGCAATGTATCTTTTGGGGAAGAATTGGGGTGGCTTGGAGGGGTTGAAAGTTGAATCCGACGATTTCGGGCTGATGAGAGGCACTCGCCAGTGATATTTCGAGGGAGTAATGAATCTTTCATGGATTTATTTCAAGCACAAAAAAAAATTACCAAAATTATCTTTTTACAAAACTGAGTCTCTCCCTTAATTAATTATTGTAATCATATATATTGACTCCCTAAATAATAAAAAAAAAATTATTAAAATTATTATTATTATTATTATTATAAATATTAAAAATAGCCAAAATAGCGACAATAAAATAATTTTTCTTCCTTTTTCTTCCTTTCCATTTTACTTCAAACAACTGCTGCCTTCGCACATTTCATCCCCAGACGATATTAAAAGTTTAAAACAAAAATAAGAAATAAAATCTTGATGTTAAATCGTAACTGCCGCTGAGAAAGATTTTTATATCTAGTTTTGAATTTAATATTTTGACGTTACGGCATCTCATGTAACAACAATACGTTGTGCTGTGATACCACAAGTTGGCGAAGCGAAATTTCTGGACGAGCGTCGAGAAATATTACATAATATGACACACAATTCAGAGACAATGGGTGATTTAAGCTCTTGCTTATTATTACCGCGCGTGACGAAATTCAAACACAATTATTGAAAATGCACCACTCAGAGTCAAGTTAAAATCCCTTCTCCAATACTGATAAACTCAACGTTTACACAAGATAACTCGTCACACAATATCCTCTCTGGTTCCTTCCACATGGTATTTTAAAATTCTTTGGTGTACCATCAAAAAGATAAAAATTCCATTCACCAGAGCCGTTGACATTCAGACGACGGCATTCTCGCATTTAAAATAGCAAGTCACATGTTATTTTAACGAATGAATTGCACACGATCTATCTCCATTCAATTTACCGAATCCTTCAAACTAATTGAGTTTCGACGTACGTATCGGCATCATTCTATTGAACAGTTAATCCTGTTGAAATACTATTTGAAATAAAAATTTGAACTCACTAACTTCGCTCTGAAGGCTCTCCGAATTTTGCTCGCTATCTTTCCCATTTTGCTGTTACATTCGTAATTAAAAAAAAAACGAGAACACTTGCGCGATTTTTTCCGTCATATGCCAACTTTTTTCTTGTTACGCTGCAGATTTTAATGCACCAGCACTCCGACTATAACATTATCGCAATGCAACGCTAACTGGAAACAAGTAGTCGGGAGTGTGCAAACAGAAGGTCTCAACTAAACGGATCATTTGGAATGTGCGAGTCCAAGTGAGAGATCGGTTTTACTGGTGAGTGAGAGGGAGATTGGAGAAATACTGTAGTGATAAGTCGAGGGAAGGGAGAATAAGCTGAAAAAAGAGAGAACGTTTAGTGTTAAGTGGTATGTAAAAGAGAATACACTGAGAAAAAAATATCGTAGTGGGGAAAATATCATTTTATTTATTTTTTTTTCTTTTAATATTTTCCTTTTCAAACTAGAATTTTCATGGTCTCCATAGTTGAACTACAATTTAATTCTCAATAAATTAAAAATGCAGAAAACCTATTTTCCACAATAACTATTATAATAGAGAATTACCAGACAATTCGAGAAGTTAAATTATTCCTCAATGCAGAATTGTTAAACATTTCGAATTTTTTAAATTGAAATTCCAAGTGTAATCTCCCAATAATGCATTAAAATGCATTAATCATGCAATCATCAATCAATTATTTGTCAGTATTGAAAAATACCGAACGTTTGAATTAAAAAATCATTGGTTTTACTTAATTCTCATCTCAGTGCATTCAATCCTCTGTACACATCCGCTTGGATGATGTCATTGGAGCCAGCATCGCTGAATTCGATCACATTAGTTTCATATAAAACGCGTCATCACAATCGCACATACGAGGAAATTATTTATTAGTAGGAGATGATTTTACTTTCGTAGAAGCAAGAGTTGGAATCTATCAGGAGTTCTACCCTTCGACTAAGAATAATAATAAAACGATAAATAACATTAATTTATATTTTTTGTATTTTTCCTTCTAGGTAGGGACTTGATTCGTGCAATTTTCAGCACATACAGGATTTATTTTTATTGACATAAAATACACATTCAATTGTTTGACATTTTAAAGATTGTTGATGAGGCCGGTTCATCTCAATGGGCCATTCCATCAAATCCTTATTTAAAATATTGGATGAATTCGATCAAATTGCCCGCATATTCACTCTTCATTAACGTGACTCGCCACTCAGTTCTATAGTACACAATATTTTTACAATTATTACAGAATCACAAATGGAACTTGATCTGTTTCAAATATAGGATATTTCTTTTGCATGGAAAAATTACGATATCCTTATCTAAATCAGTCTAACATTTTTTTCATGTTTCATTCGTGTCGTAACTGTCATCAATAGTGGTATCGAGACAAATGAAATAAATTAATCACCTTGATATCACTATTTATGAATTATCACATTTTTATTTCGCACTCGTCTTTTCAAACTACTCAGGAATCTATTGACTATTGAGATAGAAATTTGAGTCAAATGTTTATTATCTAGTCTAGATGATATTCAATTAAATTAAGTACACCCACTTGTCGTAATTTATATCGTCTTGCGATAAGTAATACATTCAACTTTATAATAGACATTTATAATTTGGAACCCAACGATTAACATCTTTAACGTCATCGAATTATGTCAAAGATTTTTTAAAAAAATTATAAGATATTCTGTTACAATAATAAATTATCTATATAAATTTGTCATTTTGAGGACTTTCATTCATTTAGTATAAAGTTTCATATAAAAAAATCGGCGGTGAAGAGAATTGTTTCAGTCGGTAAATGATTTGTCTCACTATCTGAGTATTTTTGTGCTGTGGTATATTTGTGGACAGAGGCAACATTGATTAGTCTCTAACGTATCAGGTATAAAAATCACTCCGTATGTTTTGATTTTAATAATTTAAATTGCCCCTTTTTCCTCAATATCCAAGAGACACCCGAAAATATCCAAAAATTCACTGCCGAATAATCCGAGTGTATTTTTCACTGAGAGGAAAAATTGTCCATTAAAAAAAATAACTCCTCAAAAATATTATCTCGTTAACAATAAAAATCGTCTGACAAACAATTTCGTTTTCATACAAAAAAAATATATCACGGCGTTAATGAATTAATCATTTCCGAGTCTACGAAACACTTTGGACCCTCAATTTTTCCCTCCTCTGTCGATTTTATGAAATAATTTCAATAACCAATGATGGAATAATTTTTCTAGATATTTTTAGAGATTCTAAGAAAATTAAGTGTGTCACCAACGAAATCTTCGTGGAATAGATTTTTTCCTCTGGATGTACCTCTTCAACCTCGAATTATTGAGCTCAACGAAGATAAAAGCATATTCAGTAGAAATTCCAGGAAAATAAAGAATGTAAATTTATCGACAATTATTCTAGTGTCAAGGTGAAAAAATAGACCCACCTAAAGTGTATTTCCAGTAACTTACAAGAATGTAAAAGGGTTCCTTGTAAAATTTAACAGCGCTATATACTTATTCCGTGTATCGATTAACTATTCAGCAAGTAATCCCCCGCGTCATCGTTTTATCCAGCGAAGTAATCCGCATTTACAGCAGTACACAACCTGATCCATGTATTATTTCGGAGAGGAACATCGGCGTGCTAGCACTCAAACCACCATCAGTCTTTGCCTGCTCATCCTTCTCGAATTCACAATCAAAATAACGACCCTGAGTAACAAAAAGCAACCAATTAAACTTCAAATTGACGTACAAGACAATAAGCCAATTGTTTGAATCAAAAACAATCGAATTTTCCCCACTATTCAGATATTACCAACAATTATTTCAATAAAGCTGTGTTTGTCTAATAGAGGCAGAGAGTAATTTAGAGAGTAATGAGCAATTATGGGAAGCGATGTTGTATTGATTATTATATGAATAACGTAAAACTGATAATTATTCACCTGGCAATCGAGGCATCGGCAATGATCGCTCATTTTGCAAGTGATTCCACATTGCTTAGCGACAGCTTTGTACAATTCCTTACTTGATTTGTGGGATATCTCTGGACCAGGAGTTTGAATACTATTTCGAGCACTCGAACCTTCTTTCTCAACTTTGTAATTGGTTTCTTTGTCGCTTGAGCTGTCCGACTGCTCATCGTCATTTTCTCCTGTCTGTCTCATTCGTGCCTAAATCCCGAAAGATTGAGTGAGATTAGATAGAAATTACCGGAATATTAACGTGAAGATTACGTTTTGAAAAGGATAAAAAAAACTAATCACTCGCCTAGTGATTCGTTCATTTATTCATGTGAGAAGTCGTTTCATTTTTCCACAAACATCAATAAATTTTACGAAACGAAACGAAACGAAACGAAAATTACTCAGTTTCGTAGAAATGATTATTGATGATTATATATGTATATTATTAATTTTGATTTTTGAGAGATTTCACGTGGTATTGGAAATTATAGGGAATTGTTTGCAATTTTCTTTTTAATGAATATTTTTCTGTGGGTTACAAAAAAAATTCAAGGATATCTCACCTCTTCCAGAACATATTCATACGAAGGTGGAAGTGAGCTGCAAAATACAGTTGATGAATCTTCGGGAATCCCTGGTATATTCTCAATTGCCGGTGTTTCAGGTGTGCTTCGCGATGTTGTTTGAATGAGGCATGTGGGCTCTTCACTATCAGTACTATTTCTACTCTCCTTACTCCGTGATTTTGACATTTTTGAGAAGTGGAACTTGAATGGCGCCATATTCTTAAAAATTAAACCCCATTGATAGAAATTCGAAGATCATCGTCACATCACCCATTCGGTTGTTATTCGTCATTTTCAAATTTAATGATTTAATTTTTTCCTTATGTTCCTCGAACCTTCCAGATGCTAACAGAATCGAGATTTTTCCATCTCGCCCTCAATTACCGGTCATTACCAATTTTTTAAATAATTTTCTCATGAGAATTTTTTAACTGGCCACCTTCCCACCCACAGACACCTATCTAATTCTTAAAAAAAACAAATTGTTGTCAGAATAATTCCAGATCCATTCAGAAGCTTACTACCAATTGTATCGGCAGAAATGAAAAAAGAGAAAAAAAACTAACGCATAAAGCAATAGCCAATTGCTCGTTTATTGATCCCACTATAAAAATATTTTCATTTATTGTATTATACAATTTATTTCCGCCAGGAATTCTGTTGAATAATCTATTATATCAATGATATCATCAATTCCACTCAAAGTGATCGACTTAATTAACAGTCTCACAAACAAATAATCAATATTATTAATAAAAAAATATTTATAATAGTTATTTCAGATAAAATCTCATTTTCGGTAATGACATCAGTTTTAAATTTAACGTCAAAATTTGACACCAAGTTAAATTCAACGCGCATGCAGTGAAGGTATAACGCAATTATGAATGAAATATATTATTACTGATATTGAAAATCATGGATCATACGAAAATTTTTGCTTCTGATTTACACATGAAAATCTGGGAGATTATTTTTTCAAAACTAATCCTCGAAATTCATTCTAGAACGGAATTTCCATCAGGCATGAGCATGAATATCCCGTCAAAACACACCACCCCTATCGTGTTATTGATCGACCGCGATAAACTCGGTTGATTGAAATTTCTACGCTCCCCAGAAATTTTTCTGAATCCCCGAAATATTCGATCTCCAACAGGTCCACCGACCTCTCCAATCGTCGGAAAAACATAAAAATCAGTGGACTTACCGCGTTTGAAAATATTCTCTCTGCTGGTACTTCCTCAAATGAGCACTTCAAATCTTGATGTTTCAATATATACGCACAGTATCATAGCATATCAGCCATGTTTCAACCGCGCTGAGCTCCACACAGCGGTAGCTTCTGATAACACATCCAATATCGACTTGCAAGAGCTTTCTTTCAGCTTCACGAGCGGGAAACGTTAATTACGGAAATCGGGACTCATTCACATGCCAGAAAATTCCAGAAGACGCGTCCATTGCCTGAATGGACTGAATATTTCCATAAAAATTTCAAACATTCCCGACTTTCAACACCAAAAACAACCCCATAATCATTCTACGAAGAACTGAGATTCGTTTGTGTAAATAAACACAACAGAGACAAGGAATTCTCCCTCGTTATTTACGATCAAATTATTGTCTCTGTTAACATTCCGTTCATCCTGTTGACTCGCTTTGAAGTAACCTCACGCAATCACTTCTCTGAATTTAAGCTAGACAATTCAACCCACTCCTCATTTTCTGTATATATTAATTATTGTTAACAGAACACCAGTGAAAATCCATGTAATTCTTATCACTAGTTTTTCCTGCGAGTCGTTTTTCACAGAAGCGCGTCCAAAGCATGCACTCCATCCATTGTGCTAGAAATGATAATACCGGATCGCAATACATGACGGAAAAATTGTGATGATTTGTCATTGAAATGAGAAGAAAATGCGCCTCTACACAGAGAACTAGGGAAAACAGAATGAAATACAGGTTGACCTCAAATGAAGGCTACAAAATGCCAAATGAATAATTCACGAATGGTAATCAATTCTCAAAGCAACCCGCTTTTCAACAGTCAATAAATGAAGCTTAGAATGAATCTCAGTACGAACAATAGAACCCCCACGGTCTCAAATACTTTCTAAAACAAAACAGAAGAAAAAAAAAACACATACACACAGAACAAAACAAAAATGGAGCAATGAAAAATGCCTGGGGTGGGTCATGCATCCCCCGGCTTTTCTAGGTCACATTGGAATGTACCGAGTTGCAACGTTTTTTTGTATGCAACTGAGAGCTTATTTAGGTAGATTATGGCAGAGCGAGGCGACCTGCACTTGAATGAACTCTGCTTTATGTCATCCCTCTACTCTCTGAACTGATAGAATTCTAATCCTATTATCTCCACTCTAAAGCAAGACAAGTGTTTCACAGAGAAGTCCATGTATAGAGTGAAAAATTAGGAGGTCGACGAGTTATCGATCATGAAGATGATAAATATGAGTCTCTTCCGCCCCTATCAGCCTATAATTTCCTGCAATCATTAATATCAACAATTATCACCATAACTTTGACATAAGAATTGGAGAATTCCAGATAATCCAAAGTGTATCGATATTTCGGTGATGAATGCTCGAGAGTTAGTCCAAGGATATGACAATCAATTCGTGAGAACGAGAATGTGATGTCTGCCCAAAGATTGGGCTGTTCTCTTTGACTAGGTCAACGGTCTCGATTTGTTTAGGTAATAAACAGCTCAAGTCGATATTTCTATTGACCTCTGACGATGGAACGATTTCATGATTGAGGTGAAGATATTGGCAACACCCTATGGTATCGCCGTCTAAGATGCTGAGAGATTGAAGAACCCGAAGTAAATGGAATGGGTGGTGGGATGATGAGGCCGCGAATAGCGACGCGCGCGCCACTATCAGTAAATCGATGGGAAAGGATGGAGACGGTCTGACTCTTTCTATGTATTCTCACTCTGATACGAATAAACCAATACTGTGACTCTCTTCATTCTGTTCCGCGACACCAAGTTGAGCTCGCCCACCACTCGCAACCCAATTCGACGGTACCTTGCGCTCACGTGTATAAAGCTCAGTCCCAGTTGAACGTTACAACAACTGACAACATCTATAATCCATGTAACATAATTATTATGACTGAATAAAGATAATATTTCATAAATAAAACAGTTCATCGCTGATTATTTCATTGAGAGTTATAAATTTAAAAGTCAGTTATTTCTTAAGGTAAGAGTCCTGTTTTACATCCTCAATGATGTCCTAGTTTCCTATGTGTCCATTAGGATTTTATTTGGCTAATTTTCTTAGTATGACAATAGATTTTATTTACAATTATCAAATATGTGGAGTTGTTACGACCCCTCGGCGATTATTGACGTATGCATAAATATTATTTTCTACTGGTACCATTGCATGGGAGATACTAATAGCTGACACCGACAATAAGGTAGTGTACCTTCTAGATTAATTCATCTGAGTGCAACTACATGGTGGCACATGCGTACTATATGTGCATGCAATTTGTGGTGTATGTATGTATCTAGCAATTACAACGTCCATAATTCCGAAAAAAAAGAAGAGAAATATGAACGAGCATTCCATTTTCCAAAATCAATAACTGCATCATGAATTATCACGTCTCTCTAATTAACCGATGTGCCAACCTCATCAACTTGTTGTAATAGCAGGTCAAGTGGTTATTCAAGTGCTCATTTTGGAAACTACTTCATCATGATTGCAGAATGCCTAACAGGTATACACCGACTTGCGGCTGTAGCGTCTCATTGAAATCATCGAACTCGCGTAATGATTTATCGAGTTCAGCGGTGGACAAGTCTAAATCATTGAATGGCAATGAAGTTGATGTGCGATCGAGAAAAAATGACAAATCCAAAGGGCGATATCAAATCAGTAGAGCAAGAACCGCTGACAGTGGCAGTAGTACATTGATTCCCCAGCAACCAAGACTTCCGAAGAATAATACAGAACACAAGAAGAGGTCCAATTTCTCTAGGAGAAGCAGAAGCGCTGAGCGTTCCGAATCCCATTACGTCTACATCGGTAAAGGAAAATGTCCATGATTGCACTGCACGTGCTGTACTCTCAATCCTTTGAGTACTGAACATCTCAATGATTTCCATTTGATAATTTCCAGATTCCGATGATTACTCAAGCAGAGATGAGGTCCAAGTAGTTGCTTACGCTACATCGCCAATGATTCAGGAAAGCAGTGCAAATATAACTCGAAATTACAGTGCCCTTCCGGAAGTACCATCCCGTAATTGTCAACAAATGTACGCAATACCCTCGATGACATCACCCCCACCTACATATGACGTTGCAGTTGCCAAGTCCTGCCAGGTAAAAGAATCTCCCTTTCCTCAACTTCAATCTTCTCCTGTGGTTATGTAGGTTGTCGCGCACGCGTTGCGTGGATCACTTCATGATCCAACTTCTGAGTTGTTTTATTTCAATTTGGCGGCAAGCATCCCTGCAATGAGACCGAGAGCCGTCGGACCGGATCATTTCAACTGGAATTCCTTTATCGATTCCACGATAATATCTTTCATATTGCCCACAGGCTGGACTTCCTCCTTCTTACGAAGACTATTTGTGCCACAAGTATGCAACACTCTCGCGATCACACACACCACCACCACCTTGGTCAATCTCATCTTGCGATCCAACAGCAAACAGCAATGGACATCACATTTATCAGTCCCAGACTGAGATTGTTCGGGATACGGGGAATGGGTCAAATCCCAACATGATCTTCAAGAAACACGTCAGACAACAGAGATTACGAGCGATCAGTCGCAGGTCAGATAGTCCTTCCAAGTCCTGATGAATCTGTCAAGCTGCAGGCTATGTGCTTGATGATCTCCATTGATTTCAGATCGTCGAGTGAAAGTCGTGCTCATCAACAGAGACTAGCAACGATGTGCGAGGATGGAGCATTCTGCATGGAAACCACTGTCATTCAATCGGCCTTCGAGGATGGCGTTGCATTCTGCAGTTTAATGTAAATAACATCGATAACCAGAGGCATAGAACTCGAGTACATTCAAGAATTTCAGCTGAAAGCATTAGGCATTGAGATAATGTCACACATTGGGAATGCCGGGATTGAATCAGGATAACCCGCATTTTCGCGTATAAGTCTGCCAAATATGTTCGTAAAAGACAAATCCTAATCAAACACTAGTGTATCTGGTTGGTCCAGTGTAAACACCGGCTGGTCCAGTGTCGAAATACGTGTATATTTGAACATAACATTTAGTCTCGTCAATGTTAGCATTCCGATTCCATGTCTAACTGATGAAATATATGATACACGGAGGGAATAATAACCAAAAAATCACCCCACTCGGTGCCGTAAATGAAGCACAAATGTCTTGACTGAATTCTTGTTGATGAAGAAAGTAAAAATTCTCCTGAGATGAATATTGAACATCTATTTATCATTTTCGGGTGGGGAATTTTGTGGAATTTTCACTTCGTGTGTAATATCAACAGATTAGTCATCTATGAAACATTTCGCAGGGTCCAATAACTCAGCTCTGTCAGATTGTTACTAGATTGTAAATCATCTTCAATCGAGAAGTGACTATTTTTAAGGCGGTCAGATAGTCTTAAATGTCATGCCCGTTCGGTACGCAGCGTTTTGCTTCTGTGGAAACAAACCAATCTAGTCGAGATGCAGATGTTATACCAGCACTCAGTTATCCGAATTTAGGAAAACAAATCGATCGGCCTCTATTTGAAATAATAAACATGTGAAGTTAGGATCAGTCATTGTGTGTATCTTGAGCGAGCTACATTATGTATAATCAATGTTCATGTAAAGTTAATGTAGCAGAATAAAAAAATCCACCCGTCCGGTTACGATTCTCTCATGATTATAAATACTAATTTGAGTCGATATGAATCGATTGTAGTCGATTTTTAAGGAATGGGCAGACAGGGCCATTACATCGAACAAAAATCTCCCCTTGTTCAGAGTAACGAATTAATGAATTAATTAATCCATCTTTTGCAAGTTCACTCCAGAGAATGTGCCTTACGAGAAGAAATTGAATTTTCCCAATTTATACTACCTGTTGGGGATGGAACATTGAATATGAATGACTGCGAAATATATTCAGCCAACGAATGTATAATACATTATATCTAGAGAGATATCTCCAGATGCAGATATCGCAGAGGATTTATATGAGGAGGTGATTAATGAATAACCGAGATATTAATTATCATTCTCATAAAACATTCGCAAATGCATTTGAAAACGTGAATTTGATTAGCGTTAACTACAAGGATAATAAGGCGCATTTCAATTATCTATATGGCACAATCCGAGGGATCTACCTTATCGACGCAGTTGCCTCTATTGCCCGCTGTCAGCTAAATGACGACTGTCAATAAGCTCTTAGATTATCATCAGTGACAAACTTGTATTGACATCAGTGAAAGTCAAATAATGAGAATCATCCATTGCCGGTTACCCCAGAAAATCTACTCCCATTTAAATTCATCCTAATCCTAACCCGTTGGATTAATTAATAAAACTAATGATTAATTAATAAACTTTTGATCACTGAAGTAGAAGTCCAATTGCAATGCAATCTTCAGGTAATTCTGAGTGTGATTAGAATTTAGATCATAACTGAATTATATCGCGAGAATAAACATCAAGAAGAAAAAGAAAAATGAGTGAAAGGGGGAAACCGCACGAATGGCTGCAACTCTCCAGACTAAAACAAAGTGAAATAAAAAAAAAAAGTGGATTATCATTGGTATGTAACAAATTGAAACGGACAGTATCTCCCCTTCCCCAAGACATGCACAGTAGAGCGACAACAGGGATTATTGGTTTTTCTCACTTAATTCAAATCGAAGTGGCGTATTTGGAAAGCCATCTCTCGGTCTATAAATAGGTCTTAGGCTTACCGGTCCATCGTGTACACCAATCCACTGAGAAAGAGAAGATGCGAGTAAAAAAGAGATACTGGGAAAGGAGATGAATGGATTTGGTAGGCGGTCCAGTGGTTGGACTTTAGGTTTAAATCCAGCAGATGTCGTGGCAGAATGACTTATCATAGGAAGGGGACTGGCCGGTGTTGGAGTGGGCGGTAGCAGAAATGTCAACGCCTTGTTACGCCCATTGACCAGCCCTCGACGGTTTCTTAGCAGCAGACGCGTCGCGACAACCAAGTAGACAACCAGCAACCAAAGCACCGGGTTCTGTATACCCGTTGTTATCCAACACGATAGCCGGTTGTAACGTGCGTTACCCTCGATACCCTTGATAAACAATAAAATCATTGAGACAATATTGAGTCGCGAGTGGATAACAAATGTGATTAATTGGAATATTTAATTGGTAGATTTTTAATGCACTGCCATCGATGTCAAAAATGTGAAACGATTGTGACCACTGCCAGTGTTAACACACACGATGAATAATGGAAATGTTCGGTGTGACTCGTCGAGAATATCAAGTAGTGATTAAATAAACATTCTAATGAAACTCAAGAATGAATTTGATCAATCGATCGTTATAATTTATTAAGATGCTTTATAACTGTGATAGAATTGCTCATTAAAGTGTTATCATACTCAATGTTAAGTAAAAAGGTACAAAATAACGATTAATAATTGTTGACACATGACGGATAATTTCGTCGAGATTGATGATAAAAATGAGGAGATCAGTGAATTAGTGGATTAACGATGCCTAATCTCGATATGGAGATAGTTAATCACCGTGTGGTATCACGAGCGGAGGGTAATCATGATCAGAGAAGCAAGAAATGCAAAAAAGAGGAGGGGGATTTGTCGGATTGTGAGAGTGAGACGAGCGAAGTGTTGAGCGTCGGTAGTGAGCCAACACCAGGTGCAGATGGTGTAGGTGTTGAGCCGCACGAATACGAGACAGCTAGATACATGAAGAATCCACTGTCAAGATTGGAGTACCAGGATGATCGACGGATTGGTATAATATCATCGAGATCACCATCGCCGTCGCCCTCCAATGATTCCGGTAGTTGCAATGTTGCCCACAGTCCAGCGAGCTACTGCAGCCCCCAGCAGCCACCCTCATCACCAACTGCATCGTCAGTGAGATCACCAGCATCATCGAGTGCCACAGCCTCATCACCAGGACGATCGGATACTATTCAGGATGGTGTTGTTTCATCGAGGTACCAACCACCTCATCAGTGCTATCCACAGCACTTATTAGCAAGATTTACTCGTGAATCTGATTTAGCTGATTATCCGTCCGGTACGAAGATACCCATGAATCATGAATTACCTTACACAAGTGTCGATAGACTGCATAGAACGCCGATAAGCCTTCCACTAGCAACTAGACACTCCTTGTCACCACCATCAAGTACAACAGTCAATGGTCTCCAAGCAACCGGCCCACCGACAGCCTTTCATTCCAATTGTCGTGATAACTCCCTACTTGTTCATTCAGCTCATCTACAAGTAACGACCCATCAACTTATTCACCAGTCATCACAACTCCAGCATGTACCATCAACAGCGTTAATTCATCATCATCATCATCAGCAGCAGCAGCATCAGCATCAGCTCTCTCATTACAATCAACCACAGTCGCATAAAATCAATCAGCAGGTACAGCACAGATTGTCCGTCAGTAAATTAATCCAAAATTCGCCAATTAGAGAATCATCCAGTCCGGTATCACCCATTCGCGATGACTCGACCATCAGAAATAATGTCTCACCGGCAAACAATAGTCTTCAAATAAATAACAATAATAGTCATCATCGAAATAATAATGAGGACAATAATAGCAACAATAATAATAACAACAATAGTAACGATAATGATAATATACAAGGAAATTTGAAGTTCAGTATAGACAATATATTGAAAGCTGATTTCGGTCGGCGAATAACAGATCCAATATCGTTGAAAAAATCACGCCCCAAGAAAGTTGTTCAGAGGCCCATTGATCTAACCAAGGACTTTCTCGACTCGTCCTCGGAGAGTTCAGATCGTGGCTCGGAATCGACAAGTGTAACAAATCCATCCCCAGTGACAACTTCGGCAACACCAGCGTTAAATGGTACATCAACAACCACTGGATCTGATACATCGAAGCAGATGCTGTGGCCCGCATGGGTCTACTGCACCAGATACTCGGACAGGCCATCCTCTGGTGAGATTAAAATCCTCATTATATTCATTAATATTCGAGGGAATAGACCAATTATGATCGACAGTTCAAATCAATCAACGAAAATTCCACTCTTCCCGTTTATTGAAATTTTACTTTTTCCATATTTCATCGAGACAAATATTTAAAACATTTTTTTTCGGTCTCTCGTTGAGTCCAGCTGACGGTTGATTATCTCCAAAGAAATGCCGTTTTATAATAAGAAAGTCGTGACCGAATGTATCGCATGGCTAAATCGCCGACGCCGATGGCATCACCGTAATCGGTTGCCTCTGCTTAATCGTCCAATTGTGAAGTAAGCGGGTTCGTCGGGTCGAGTTTGGCTGTTCACCGGGCCCCAGTGGACCCACAATCTCCATATAGACTGTTCCAATTAATAATCTCATCTTCGGAGTTCAGTAAACCTTTGGTAATCGTCAATATCATCTCAAGCGCCATATCGTAATGCCTCGTAATTTCTCGTTGAGTATTATGGTTGGTTATGGGGTAATGATGTCAACGAGTCACCCCACTTGAATACAAAGAGAATTTATTTTTAAAGAAAACAGTGAGCAAGGACAAACGAGGCACACGACGAGCGGAAGTGCACCTGTCGTCGGGTCGTGATCATGTGATAACTAAGCGCGAGTTTACGAGTTGGTATAAAAGCAACATTCGAAGGTGATAGGTACTTGTTACCATTCGGGAGATGAAAGGAAACCCGAAGATAACTACGATGGTGGGCTTTCTATTACAAAGTCCACTCTCTTTTACAGTATTCGTGTTGCTTATATCGGGTTAGCATCCTCAAATCTCTCACAAATTAAAAAAAAAACCCTCAAATTAATTAATGCATTTATTCATTATAATCGACCTTTTGGGCCTTATCTGCCCAATTGTTGAAGAAACTCTGGGGATTATCTGCATTTTTTTAATAAATTCTTCTGATAAATTTAATTTCTGCTGTCAATGCCAAACTCGCAGTTTTAGAAATTCACTATTATTTCCAACCTTCGCATAATTTGGAACTTTTTATTTTCTGAAAATTAAAGTTCGGTCTAGAATCTAGAAGCAAAATGAGCGAGTGATCTCCAGTTTTTTCGGGGGACTAATGAAAATCAAAACATCATTTTGGGTGACTAACATCACCAAATACTACTGCTAGTGATGAAGATGAATATCTGTCATTATTCCTCTAAATGGGCCGAATGAACAGGTACGAAAACGGCATTCCAAAGATGCATGTGGTATATATATACACAGACCGTATACACTAGAGCGGAGCGACATGATAAATAACTAACACCTCGCGTATATAAAAGTTATGTGCCCACTGAGGAGTCGTCTATCCATCTGCCCTCTCATTCTCATGATTCGTCTCAACAGGAACTCCTCGGAATACATTTATAATCCTTATTATTTAATTAATCTTATTCATCATATTTGTCCTGTTGGATGAGACACGTGATGTATCGAAAAGTTATATCTTCCATACAACTAACCGCAGATGCCATGTGTAGGGATCGTTTTCAGCTGAGTAGGATTAGACCAACGAGGTATCAAATTTCTTGGAATGAGATTCCCCTGAAAAATTCACCATCATCTTTTATTGACCACTAACAAAAGTAAAAAGACCACATTAAAAAAAGAGTCTAACGCCAAATTAATGCTATTATAACACAACAATCATAATAACTAATTATTTACACAACACAAAAACCCTGGGATGAATCCAATTTTTCAAAAATTCAATTAATTCCATTTTTCAATTCAATTTTCTCACGTGTACTATATATTCTTGCCGGTGGAAATTTATTTGTCCCAGCCTAAAGGAGTGAAAAGTATTGGGTATTCAGAGCCATTAATGATCATTTAATTCACCAACGGGCAATTTCGATTCGAAAATTTCCGTGATCGTGCAGTAATGTATCTTTACTTCTTCCCCTTACGGGTATCACATCGGATGCCATTGATTAGTCCGATCGAGAGTTAAAAAAAAAACGGCGATTGCCAGAGGAAGGCGAATTAATCGCGCTCCGGTGAAATGTGAAATGCAATTGCCTACCATTCATCGTTGATGCTGAATTGTGATATTAAAGATCCCTTCCATCGCTTTCTCAATCACTATTGAGTAAAACGTTCCGCGTGGTACATCGAATTGCGGAGGAATCAAAATAAACCGCTCACCTCTACTTCCTTTATAATATCCACAGAGCGTTCCGCGTGTTTGATACCCACTCTCCGATAAATAAAAACCCGTCGTAAAAGGCTCAATGGAAATCGAGAAAATAAAAGTGAATAAAAAAGAAAACAAATGGAGAAAAGACGCCACGGCGGGCGTGAAATATCCCATTTCTCACTGGCGGTACACTCCCTCAAGTAATTTGGGACGAATTAGTAGCAATTAACAATTACTAGGCAGCCAGAAATAGCCAGTGGAGACTAAAAGGAGATGAATGCGAGACAATGACTCGGAATGTAAAACAGCCGGGAATATATACCGACTATTACGCCGGGGACATGTCATTCATTGCTTGAAGAATATCTCCCTGAATAATATCAGCTCATTCATTTATTATTATTATTTTTTCAAGCAATCCCCCTGCAATTCCCCTGAATTTTCAAAACAAATTGAAAATTGCATGAGCATTTTCGGGTGAAATTATATTCAACCTAGTTCTCGTTAAAAATTACGGGACTGTCATAAATTTTTATTTCAGTAGAACGCTATTTTCACTTGAGAAAAATCCCCGTAAAATGACGCGACATCAGTAACATAAACATTCAGATTATTTCCATAATTTTTCGCGAAATAACACTTAGCCCCACGTTCACACAACTTTCACACGATTCTCTGTGAATTTTTTTTCCGGTACAATTTCAAATTCATATTACCGCACATATATATTCTTCATTTCCTTCTCCAAACTATAATTCCAATTACAGATGTACCTAGAAAATAATGTACTCAATGAAATAAAATAATGATTATTAATTATTGCGATGAGTGACTGAAATTTGAGTGTAGTGTGAGTTTGGGGTGGGGAGTGGGTGAAAAATAAAAAGTCAGTGGATTGAGAGATATTCGAGTGATCTCGCGAGAAGGGGGGGGGGGGGGGGGGTGAGAGGGGTAAGTGCACACGTATGTAGGTCTGTTTTTGTATGAGGATGTTGATGCGTGTCAGAGGACGATACGTGGCCTGGACACAAGGAGCCCTGATCCTCATGGTATATGCGTGCCCCTGTGCACCGCTAAATGGTGGGGATAACCGGCAACTTTTTTATGGTGGGGCGAAAGACTGAGACTCCGCGTGCGGTCCCTTCTTCAACGGACCACCCAAGTTGAGACTTGGCTTTCCCTTCACTGTCTTCCCCGTGTACATGTGTCTATCTATATATCTCCAGTTATTCGCACACATTGATGGATATGGTTAACACACCTACGCAACCATGCACTTTATTAACAAACCGAGTTGAGGGTATTACAGTGGTTACACCACCACTTCAAAACCTGTGAATTACTCAAAAACCCACCTATTTACGGATAATCATTGAATTATTCATTTTCTATGGAATATTCGCGAATCAAGGATATTCTCGGTAGTAATCAATTGATCTGTAGAGAATAAAAATTACTCTTAAATAGTGATATAATATATTTATCGTCCTCGTGAGAATACTGCCGAGATTAAACAATTAAAATACAGTAAAAGTTAATTAAAAGAAACTCTAATAACAAGGTTTAGTAAAATATGTCAGAAGATATCTAATGAATCGATGTGATCTCATTCGAGTTGAGAGTCGAACTGCCCGATGGATTTTCCGTTTTTGGGACCTTAGGCCCAAGTCCTCTTTGTTTATGACTCAGACTAGGGTCTGCATAACCAATGTCCAAAATGGTTTCTAGATGAAAAACCCCGAGGTGTCGGGTAGAGTCAAACAAGGCCCTCATTGTCCTCAACTGTTTATTATCCAATCCTAGTCGAACGCGTTTAAATTTTCCCTCACAGATCAATCATTAGGTTTGTCGCAACTCTAATTAAATAATTATTGAAGAATATAAATATGGCGCTGCATGTAGGAGGTAATATATTGCCGACAATTTAATTAAATGACTCGATCTTTCATTTATTGTTAACAAACAAACTTTAGTTAAAGTTTCGATATAATGTAAGGTAGGTTGTTAATGTCCAATGTTGCTTGCTCGAGAGTTTGTCTCCAAGTGTCCCCGGTTAACAATTCGTCCAGGGTGACCGGTCTACCCACTTGACAAGGCCCTTTGTCTATGGGGTTGGTCCACGTGTTGGGCTTTTCCGTCATAAACAGCCTAAATGTTTCTATAATTCCCTCTGATCAGTTACAACGAGCCTCTTGTTCGTTTTAACGTCGAAAATATTTCCAACATGATCAATCATTAGATTCATCGCAACTCTATTTAAATAATCATTGCAGAAAATAAATATGGCGCTTCATTATTATGAATTTGTTTTTATTAATGATTGTAATCCAATTTTTAAATTCGTTGAATTGATTTTGAAGTGGTGGATCTGTTAGATTTCGAGGAAATATTTTATTGAACATTCGACTTGAGGAAAACCCCTAGATTCACTGGAGAATTCACAATTTTTTTTTGCAATGATCATATAATCAATGGCGCGATGGCAACGTACTATGGAATACAAGTGGTTCGGGATAAGACCTCTGTAAATAGCTGCAGGGAATGACCCTTACACCTGTTACACGATACATGGAAAGGTGCAACTGTACCAGGAGACACCATTCGAGTCCATAGCACCTATTGCCTCTTTTCATGGTTCTTTTCATCCAACACTACTCCAATATTTCACCCTGCAATGCCACAAGTTGGTACAATGAACAACGCACCCACATCAACACATTATTTCCCCTAATGAACCCAATATAAATTATTCTCCATTGACCAAATGAATTGCTGTATAAATAGTATCAAGTTGTGTTGGTATCGGTCAGCGGAATTGAGTGAT